CACCCCACCCCACCCCACCCCACAATGGTTGTTTGATATGTGAGGGGTTTGGCACGTTAGCAATATTTGGTTGTATTTTGGTGTTCACTAAGAAGCATTGCTTCTTGTTTTAGTTGTTTTTTCTACTTAGTGTTTTGAGGTTTGTCTTTGACAAGACCCGACCCGGAGTTTGGAATTAACCAAAGTGGGATCGGATGGTAAATTTTTTTTCTGTTATTCTATTTCTATTACCAACATTTTAATATTCAAAAAATTACGAAAGTGCACTAAAGAATGCAATTAAATTAACAAGTAGAAATGTGTACGTTTCTTGTTGTTGTTCTCACCTCCACTAAACATTATTTCTTCTTCCATTCATCTTAATAAAAAACTTCAACCTAAAAAATTTTTTAAAGCTATATGAGTTATTCAAAGATAACCTAGGGGCAATCATACTTCAATACTACACTAACCCTACATGTATCAATTTTCTTTTTCAAAATGAAAATGATTTAAACTTCTATAGGCATTTACTTTTACTATAATCTTAACTTTATTTTTATTTTATGCTATTAGCATTTACATTTTTCTTAGGAGCACCATCAAAATATAGCTTAACACACCTCTGGCCGATATTTCCCATCGGCATAGTAGCTAACGATCTTTGTCTGAGATGAAAAGACCCTTACCTAATCTGTCTGATATTCTCTCATCGGTACAGTGGTTAACGATTTAAATATCATAATTGTCTGAGGTGGTAAGCTTTGTTTACCTGCCTCTGACCGATATTCTCCCATCAGTATAACAGTTAGTGATCTAACACACAAGTATCTAAGGTGTTAGAAAAACATTTACGCATGCGAGTACACTGGCGTCCTCTGCCTGTACTACTAGGGGTGAACTTCTCCTCTGAACATGCACATACAAGCATTCATGTATACCATATTTTCATTTCATCGTTCAAAGCATACATTTTTTTAACGTGAGACTTGTATTTATTTACTAAAAATTATGCAACTCTACTAAAATCCGAGGTCATATGATAATATAAACGATGCATCTTTACTCTAGTTCTAAAGGTCAAATCATAATCTGACATACATCTAATCATACAATGAGCTAACATATACATCTTTATTAGAATATCATCAGCGTGTAACAATCTAAAATCTTCGTAAACAACTCATTATGCAAATATTAAGACAACAACATTTAACATGCATATATCATGACTAACTATGTGAAAAATTCTATGTGATTTAATTTCATTGTGTAACTATTTAACATGCATATTTTCTTATCTAACAATATGAAAAATCTGCCATAACCTATTTATCACTGGAATAAATGATAGATGAAGTCAAACATGCATGAAAATGATGAAAATTACTGAAATTCATAAATATAATTACTCCCTCGATCTACTTGATTTTCTTGTTTTGACGTCAATCGCCTTCTTCAAATTAGCACTTTCACTACTTCAAAGCTCCCCGATCAATAATATGAAATTTGCTCCAACTTGATTTTCGAACATTAATTAACAAGAATCTAATTGAATACTTAACTAGTATATTAATATAACAAAATCTTAAATCTTAAAACATTAAATAAACATTAAATAAATAAATTATTTGTCATTTATTTTAAATATCATGGTTGGCCCCCTCCCTTTCTCACGTACTAAACAGGCTGCCTCCCATCACGACCGCGATTCTTCCTCTTCTCTCGTGTAAGAAATTCACTCACAATACTCCCTCAAATTCAGGTCTCAATTAGAGCATGGGCTTATTTCTCACAGAACGACGCCAATCTTTAACAGAACTCGCTGCTTCCTTCTTCTCTTCCTCTTCTTCTTCGCTTAGATTAGCCTGCAGCGAGCGGCGTTGCTTTGATGCCTACTCCACTTCCTCATAGATACGAAGCCTCTACTCTTCTTCTTGCCTCATTTGTGACGTTGCTCCTCTTCACGCGAACACCCATATGCGTTTTTAGTGCTCACCACGAGTAAGGTTTCACATACCTCCCCCTGTCTACTCTTCCTTATTGAAGCAAGTTACCCACAACTCTTTTTGTTTTTCTTCTTGTTCAGTTTGGGTACAAGCTTCTTTTATTCTTCTTCACGGATTCGTCTCCTTCTCTCTCTCACTCTCTCTCTTCCCCCTCACTTCTTCTGTATCACTCTCTATTTCTCATCCAAAACTGTCGGTCATGAGGAAAATTGAAGGAAACGAGCGAGAGAGAGAGAGAGAGAGAGAGAGAGAGAGGTAAGCTTCATTTTGTTTTAACTCAAACGACACTTTGCCATAGAACGACACTCATATTGGTAAATTATTTTTAAAATTATTTATTACAAACTTGTGACTATTCTTCTTATTTTTATTGTGTGATTGAATTAGTGCACACCTCTGTTCTTGGTTTTATAATTGATTGATTTAGAAAACGAGGTTTATTCTTTCATTAAATTTCACTTTTGTGTATGATATTTGAACGAAGTCTTGCTTATTTGTCTTGCATTGTATTAGTATCAATTTTGATGTTAGGATTTTCATGATGATAAATCTCATTTCTTCCCTGTCGAGCTTTAGAGCGATCGTTGTATTTTATTTTGTTGTCATTGAATTCAAGTGAGGTGTTTCGAGTTGATATTGAATTTGAAGTGATTTGTTAAGGATAGAATCCATAGACAGACGGAATAGCTTGAAATTGGGCCTGGTTATAGGTCTTTCACTGGTCCTGGTTATAGGTCTTTCACTGGTCCCACCATTTTGCAGTGGTTCTAGCTTAAGAGCTCATATTTGGAGACTAGAACCACAGCCTGGATTTGGTTGAATGAGGAGCTGTGCTGTTCGATTGCTCTTGAATTCTCAAAGACCAAGGATTCTAATTTGTGATTCCCCACAAAGAAACCATTACATGGCCCTATAGTTTTAGTAATTCGAAACACATTGTTTAATCTTGAACATCACGGCAGACTTGGGCTTTACCCTTCAGTTATGGGGTTCCAGGACAATGGACTCGCATGGAGACCAAAAGCACACTAGTACTAGATGAATTGCATGTCCGATCTCCCATGAATCTTCATAGATACATGGTTTGATATTATGATTTTCAATAATACAATTTTAACCATTACGAAGAATTTGCCCTTTTGAAAAATTTTCCTAAAAAAGTCTCTATACTCTAGAAAAGATAATTAAATTATCCCCCTGGCTGTTGATTATATACAAATGAATCTATACCGAGAAAAAGAGTATCCGTTAGGCTTTTTGTTTTATAAACCAGATCCAGCATGGCTAACAAATGTGCCGAAGCATGAAGCATCCCCAAAGTGTGGCCTAGATATTTGGTTGACAGGGTTCCTCATGCTCATCTAAGATGAATTTTTGGGCCGCCTGAAAGGCTGCATCGCATAGATGACCTTCTTGGGCCTTGTAATTGACAACTTTCTCTTAGTAGGCTATTCGACATGCAGTACTGGTAAGATAGTTAACTTAGCGCCTTTAAAGTTTTTCATAGCGCAAGGAGAGTCATGGAACTTATATCCATTGTGTTTCTGCTTTCATTTTAGGGAAATTAAAAGGTTAAATACTTCAATTATGTGCTTGATAAATTACGAGTGAAGTTGCTTGGATAGGAGATATCAATTATGTTTATCTTTTGTGTTTTTGGGTGTTCCGATTGCTTTGCATTCATAAAAATAGTGAGGATGATCCTGAAATCTCTTATTTCTTTTGTAAACTGTTTTCGAGAAGTCGTTTGTTTTACGGTTAATAAATGCCAATGCAAAACTTATTGCTTGATTGAATATATCAGCAGAATACCTATTTTTCTTTTTTTTTACTTTGAGGTGTTCTACATTGCCTTGGTGTGTAAAAGCAGAAGGATAATCCCGTGCTTTAATACCTTTGGTAACATTTAAATGACCATATTATGAGAGCTGTTAAATAGAAGCCCCACAGCTTATTAGAGAGCTGTGGTAACTGTGACCAGCTTTGTGTTATGAGGCGTGCAGCATCTACATGTGAAATATATAGCTTTTATATGCTGCAAGATTTTTTGTTGCTTTTTGAGATTTATACTTTCAACTATTGTAGACATATTTATGGGCCTTGGTTTGAAGCAATGCCCACACATATATTCCAACTTTCCTAGTGATTTCCTTTTTTATTTAAGAAAAAAAATTCATTATCATGTTGCTTATTTTTGTCACGACCCGGCTGGGTCTTGGAGGTAACTAAGACGGGAATGAACAGTTTGGCGGTGGAAATAAATTATCTGTTATTCTAATTCTATTACTAACAATTTAATATTCAAATAATACATGACAGAACCAATAAAGAAAACAATTAAAATTAACTAGTAGAACTTTGTACCTTTCTATTTGTTGTTCTTGTCTTCTATACATATCTGAGTCTCTTCTATATATCTTGTTTAAATGTTTTAAACCTAAAAATAATATTAATTCAATATAACGAGTTATCTAAGGATAATCCAGGAGTAATCACAGTAATCCAAGAAAAAAGAGTACAATATGTATGCGTGTCTATAAGAAATCGTATAATATATTGTTTATTTATATTTATTTATAAACAATCTGATTACACGCAATCTAATATATGTTTATAAGCAATTTGGTATATGCTTATAAACAATCAGAGATATGTTTCTAAGCAATGTGTTATATGTAATACATGTATCAAAATCTTTCTCTAAATGAAAGTACTTAATCTTTTATAAGTATTTTCTTTAACTTTACTTTAACTTTATATTTTACATATATATTTGTCTCTATGAGTATCACCATCAACAAATCCAACACATCATTAGCTGATATTGCCCAATCAGCTCTTGTCGGCATAGTGGTTAGCGATTTACATATCGCAATTGTCTATGGTAGAAAAGCCCTTACCTGCCTCTGGTCGATATTATCCTGTCGGCACAGTGGTTAGCAATGTAAACCTCGCAATTATCCGAAGAGGTAAGCTCTGGTCTACTCGCCCTTGACCGATATTATCCTGCGGCACAGTAGTTAGTGATTTAACTATCACAATTGTCTGGGTGATAGAAAAACTCTACGCACGCAAGTACACTGACGTTCTCTGCCTGTATCATTAGGGAATGAAATCCTTCTCTCAACATGCACATGCAGCCTTCACATATAAGTTATTTTATTATTCATACATGCATTATTCTGAGACATCATTATGCATCTACTAATGTGTATATTTATTCAACTGTACAACTATTCATCAGACATATAATTTAGATCATTCATTATTTATCTCATGCATATCTTTTACTTATACAATCATATGCATACTCTTACTTATATCTTGCATGTCTTTCTTACATGTATATTTTACATGTCTATATTACATATAATATCTATCTAAATATCATTCATCTCTTGCATAACTTTCATTTAGGCACATCTTTTCCTATTATGCTTATCATTTATATGTCTTATCAATATGAATGATCTGATTAAACTAGGGCATACATGAAGTCAAACATTCAATCTGAAATAAAAAAGATTACTGAAATTTTAGAAATGTAATTACTCACTTCGGTTGCTACGCTAAAATCTTAATCTTCGACAGTTAACTGGAGGTTGCGAGGACTTTTACGTTGAGATTAATAAACTATAAAATATAATATTAAACTTCAAGGTTTAAACAATTTATGTTAATTGGATTAACCTTCTTAAATTACCATAAGATTATTTTACTAAGAATTTGCGGGGTCACTTTACAGTGAATATCCACATTCTCACCTTGAGTCTGCCGCTCCGGACAATAACCTGGAATCCGTGATTAACTTAGGATTTAAAGATATCTTGGCTCATAAAGTAATTTAACCAAAAATCTAAATGAATTGCTAAATCATACCTTAAATAGTTTTCACTGCAACCACCTTTTCTCCAAAGCAGCCAAATCTTCTTCTCCCCTCTTCTTATCTTCTCAAACTCCTCTTTCCTTTGCTGGATTTGTCCTAGAATACCTTACGAAACTCGCAAACCACATGCGACACTTTCAGCACAAGATCGACGCTCCCGACGGCTATCGGAAAGGAAAAAGGCACGAAAAGCAAGACAAACTTCAATTCGGTAGAACGACGAGAGAGAGGGATTTGTGCTTACAAAAATTGACTCGGAGCCCTAAATTACAAGTGGTAGCGCCCAAGGGGTCGCTCGCCTCCCTGCAAGTTCGAGGCACTGTAATAAGTGTCGCAGAAGAGTGAAGGTGGCACCCCGAGCCTCATGCGACTCCACTGGGCTGCCCCTCTCTGATTGTGATTGCGTGCGTTGCTGCGATCACAGCTCCTCCCTTGTATTTTTTTGGTGCCTTTGTTCTCACTCGACATTTTGAGGGGCTTAGGCTATGGCATCTTATTTACGCATGGCAATAAAAATTGGTGTTTTCAAAAGAGGTTTGGAGTGGTTTTCCTGCAAGAATTCCTGGAACCTTATGCGTAGGGTTTGTTTATTTGATGCGTAGATGGCTTATATTGTATGCGTGGTGTCCAAGAGCAGAAATCTACTTGGTCTTCTATTCTGCTTTTAATATTTTTATATTCTGTGTATGAACAGTCGGCAGCACTTTATTTCTGGGTAAACTGTTTTGTCTGGATCACTTTATGATTATGAAGAGCCCACTGATGTAAGGAGTATGGCGGAGGTAAGTCCAGAATCTCCGGTGCTCTCTACACTTGATGGTCAATATGCCCGCTTATTTGAGCATGGAAATATGAAAGAATTCCAGCTGTAAGTTTCTCACGTGTTTATTTGTCAAAAAATTTGTATTGTTCTATGTGGATTCTTCTGACCATAATATCCAGACTTTCAGATGCAGATTACGCAAAATCTCCTATTGTGGAGGAGCAAATGTCTCAAGATTCATATGAGATCATTTCAGCTCTTAGAAAATCTTATGAGTCATTCAACAGACTAAATGCTCCAAGATCTGCTGCTTATTGTAGCCATAGAATAGCTACGGAATATTTTACTGCAGGGGATTTAGGTAATGCGAAGCAGTTATTTGATGGTGTCGCAGGCCTTTACAGGCAGGAAGGCTGGATCACTTTGTTGTGGGAAACTTTGGGTTACTTGAGGGAATGCGCCAGGAGGCTTGTTTCAGTGGAATATTTTATCCAGTATTCCCTTGAGATGGCTGCCTTGCCTGTTTTTCCTAGCGGTGGAGTAGAAGCTTCAGATAGTAAAAGGGCATTTGGCCCTGCTGGCCCTCCTACTCTTTCACAGAGGGAAACAATACAGCAGGAAGTTTTCAGCCTCCTAAAGGGGCACGCAAGTGAACCAAGTAGCGGCCTGATCATACAAGATAACCAGCCTAGAAGTCTTAATATTGATCTAGTAAATCCACTTAGGATGGCATTCCTCACATCTGTTGCTTTTCACAATCAGACTATGAAGCCGGGCTCATCGGCACTCCTAACCGTGTTTATACTATCACAACTGCCTCATCCAGTGGAGATCGATCAGCTAGAAGTTAAATTCAACCAGCCCAGCTGTAATTTCAAAGTTGTTAGTGGTGATGAATTCTTTGCGAAAGAGATCAAGGCAGAAAATCATGATATCCGTTTAAAATCAGTTCCTTCTATCATATTGACTACCAATAAGTGGTGGAGAGTGACAATTGAGATTAGCTCGGGTACTTCATTTTTTCTTTACTTTTTATGTTGGCATCTTAGATACTGCTGGGTGGCTCTACCACGGCATGGGATAGATAATAGTTTCATGGAATTAACATTTGGCACGTGCTATGCTAGTTCATTTGAAATGATATGCTTGAATTGTGATCCAGACATAGAATTGATTTTTTTTTTGGAAGATTTACATACCACTCAATTCCTATGTAATTACATATCATTACATATCAGACATAGAATTGATTTTTTTTTTGGAAGATTTACATACCACTCAATTCCTATGTAATTACATATCTAACACCTAAACTTTAATTTTTACATTATGCCACCTTACCCATGCATGAAATGGTGTATTGCACTTTTAAAAGTTAAAATAATGGTATTTTTTGAGTTATGAAAAATTTGGTTGTTATTAATGTAAAAATCAAAGTTTAGGTGTTATGTATGTAAATACATAGGATGGGTGGTATGTATGTTACTACTTTTTTTATGTACGTCTAAGATTTTCTGATGTGATTTTGTAGGACAAAGTGGAAAGCTTGAGTGCGTATCAGTAAATGTTATGTTGGGGCATCAATTCACTTTCTGCTGCAGGCCTGAAAGTCCTGCTTCAATGGAAGATTTGACGCTTTGGAAGTTTGAGGATCTAATGGAGAATTTTCCATCCAAAGACCCCATAATCTCATTTTCTGGCCAAAAGTATATTCAGGTAGAAGAACCAGAACCGGAAGTAGAACTCACGTTGAATGCATCAAGCCCTGCATTGGTTGGGGAGAATTTCATAGTTCCTGTCTCTGTAGTCTCCAAAGGTCATCCTCTCCATTCTGCTGAACTTAAGATTAACCTTGTCGATGCAAGGGGTGGTGGGATGCTAATGAGTCCACGAGACACCGAGCCATTTTCATTTGACAAACACCATGTCGAACTTCTTAGCGTTTCTGGGGTATTCGACGATGATTCTCAATCAAACTCTAATGACATCAGAAAAATCCAGCAGTCCTTTGGTGTTGTTTCCGTCCCATTCTTAGGTGTTGGCCGGTCATGGTCCTGCCGCCTGGAAATAAAATGGAACAGGCCCAAATCTGTCATGCTTTATGTTTCATTAGGTTATATGCCACATCCAGAAAGCAATTCATCCAGAATTAATGTCCACAGGAGCTTGCAGATTGAAGGTAAAATCCCATTCACCATTTCTCATCGCTTCATGATGCCTTTTCGGAGGGAACCTTTACTTCTCCCAAAACTCAAGGCAGCACAAACTTCCGATCAGGAAATGGCATTACCTGATGCTGATCAGAAGATGTCATTGCCACTCATCGGGCGAACCATTCTCATCGTGAGTGCCAGAAATTGCAGCGAGATTCCGTTGTACTTGACATCGTTGGCAATCGAACCTGATGGCCACCAAGATGTAGCAAGCTCTTGCACTGTGCAGCAAAGCAGCAGTGCTTCTCTTGATCCTGCCCTTATTGTTCCGGGGGAAGAGTTCAAGCAGGTCTTCGCTGTGACTCTGCAGGCTAATTCGCCAAATATGGACATTGGCACGGTTCATCTGAAATGGGTGAGAGATTTCAATCTTGGTCTGCATTCTAATACCGTTATTATGAAACAAAATTTGCAGAGTGTGAGCGTTGAGACACCACCATTGGTTGTCAGCCTTGATTGTCCTCCCCATGCTGTTCTTGGACTTCCTTTTTTTCTGTTCATCAGAGTTCAGAATAACACAAGCCTGCTTCAGGAGATAAAGTACACATTAGGGGACTCGCAGAGTTTTGTTTTTACTGGTCCTCACAGTGATTCAGTCTTCATTCTGCCAAAATCGGAACACATCATCAGTTATAAGCTTCTGGCGCTGGTTTCAGGCTTGCAGAATCTTCCATTAGTGACGGTGATTTCAGTGAGGTATTCAGCTGCAATGAATCCTTCTCCTGCAGCAACTACTGTTTTTGTTTATCCTTCAGAGCCGCACTTTGATGTTGGACGAAAGAGGGAACTGGTACGAGCTTTGTAGTGTATTTTGCTGGGTTTTCTTTACAAGTATGCTGCATCATCCGAAGTTTATATTTATTTGGTTAATTTATTCATTTAGGTTCTGCATTTTATAATTTTTTTTTGAAATGATCGTCATTACTTAGTACGAACAGTGTCATTTTATAGGAGATTTTGTATTTAAGATGCCCAAAAAATGATGGCTCGCTTGTTCTGCACACTGATTTTTGAGTTGAGCATCGTTGTGGGGATTTAATATATATACTGTATTTTGTTTTTTTCACAGTTGATATTCATCTTTTTCTATTAAAAATAGTTGAGAAAATTTTCAGGGGAGGTTTTGTTTTTGTTTTTGTTTTATTTTATTTTTACTGTGTTATATAGATGACAATGTTATTCGAATATTGATGTGTGGCGCAATAAATAGTAAGAAATAATTACTTTGAAGGAATTATTATGGTAATAACATCTATTAAAGTTCACATAGTGATAAATACTAAACGAGTTTCTTCAATTCAAGCATTGCAATTAGGGAATAACATGTACCAATTATTTAAAAATAATGTTAAAGGATTAAGAAAAAATATGTGATAGATTGATGATAACATAGAGATGTGCAGACAAAAAAAAAAAAATAGCATGTAAGAATTTAAGGAGAGTGAGGATTTATCCTTTAAATGTTATGATAAGGATGATGAAGATGATAAGTAATGACTATTTGTCATTTAGTTTCCATTAGATAGCCAAAAATAAAAACTTTTGATACACGGAAAAATGTGATTGAACCATTAAGTGTAGAATATTTAATTATCATCTGTGATGTTTTTATTTTAAAATTTAAGGGCTGCTGTTTGTTAATAATATACTATCACTCATTAGATTGTAGCTAAGCCAAAAAGCGAAGTTAATTTGTTCTTGACAGCTAGAAGGTTAAATCACTTTTGCAGAAGTGTTGATTCTCTATGGGGTTGATTGGTTTAGTGAAAAGAGGGTGTAAATTGAAAGGAACACGTGAATTTTGAAAGGTTGGGTGTTTGGTTTGAGGAAACTTGAATGCCTAAATAAAATTTTCAAGTATTTAGAATTCACATTTTAATTCATTTTTAAATGAATTTGGAATTCACTAGATTTTAGGTGAAATTTAAATATGTGAAGTTTTGTTGGCATTTGATGACCCACTATCTCCGTCGGCTAGCGCTTATTGGTTGTTGACGAAGCCTGTTGGTTGTCATCTTTGTAATAACGATAATAAAAAAAGGATTTGATTAGGGCAGCTCGTAGGAAGCAAATATCTCGACATTTTTGATTTAAGGAGACGAGTGTCTCATCTGAAGCAAAAAAAAAAAAAAAAGAGAATCGAAAGCGAGAATGAGAGTAGGAGCTAACCAAGAAGAAAGAGGAGGGGTCACATTTTCTCTTGTCGAAGATTCAACATCATTTGCAGAAGTCGACTTAGAGATGAAAGCGGGAACAGTGCTCATGCTTGGAAAGAAGTGTCAAGTCATTCTAGTGCAAAGAAGAAGAGACAAAGCTATTCTCTCCTTGCATCGAAGCTAGAAAAATGACACTGACTTGAGTGTGAGGATTATCTCGTGCGTAGCAGGGAGTAGACTCGCGCCTTCTACGCATGAAGAGAGGAAGAGGGAGCTTGGTGTGTTGGTGTTGCCCAACCGAGTCAGACCAGTAAGCTTGCGATCCGAGCGAAGATAAATTTCCACAAAATTTAGGGCAAACAAATATTTTTTTCAATAACACAAAATAACACAATCTGAATACATAAAAATAAGCACCTATAATTCGAGAGAGATGTGATCTCTCTTGAACCCTAACCCTACTCAAAACAACAATCTCATCATAACCTTAACCCCAAACATTTTATTCATATTTATATCCCACAATAATAACTAATAAAAGTCAAAATTGTCCTCAGTTGTCAACCTAACATTAGTCCCCTCCCAAAAAGACATTGTTCTTAAGATGGAAAAAAAAGGAAATTGTTGTTGGGTGAAATCGTATGACTCTTATATGTCGTCATCATCTGACAATCCTTTCTATTTAATCAGAAATTCATAGTGACCCTCATAAGTTTGAAATGTCTTGTGCACATTCTTTGATCGCGTTTGAATCTGATGATGTCCTAATTTCCAATTCCATTCAATCTTGAATAATACTGCAGCCCCAAACAATTTATTCAATATTTCATCATTCACCAAAATCTTTGCCAATTCTGTATCATGTGTCTTTTACATCTTATGCAACTCGATCAAGAATCTCAGCCCTGTGTCCTCATCATGGCCTTGAGCATCACCAAAGACTTGCATAAAATGGGGGTCACTGCATAGCACCACCCTCTTATCTTTCTCATGAATACTCTGTAGTGTTAAAACCAGTCCCTTACAAACTACCCTGGTCTTCTCCATTATTACTCATGAAACACTTTCTCCCGGAAAGCTACAACAAAAAAGGTACTGACGCAATTGGATGTTGCCCTCTGTTGGGGTCCCACCCATAGTGGTTCCCTATTCTAGGCTGAAATTTTTCAAAGCAATCTTCTCCCGCCCTGAATTGCACACCATCACATTTCATCTTTTGTCGCTCGTTCCAAACTTTTAGATGTCGTACAATTCCATCATGATGTTGTTGCTCGAATCCTCTTTCGACTCCTTCACTCGATCATTCTTTCTTCAGTTTGTTTTAGGCATCAGAATGTCACACTATTTATTTTAAGTTATGTCGTTCAGTTCACTTCTTATCCTTCGCCCGATCCCACTACTCCAGATCCGCCTCATACCACAATGATGCCCTAATGTCACATGATTCCATTCTTGTTGTTACTGCTCCTGTCAGCTCCGGACGCCTTTGCTCGATCCTTCGATAGGCGATGGTGGATGTGTGTGAATCTCCATTTTTTCCAGAGTCGTGAATTCCCATCCATGGATGAGAGCCGTCCCTTCATGGATGAAAAACGCTCCTTCATTTTGATTTGATTTGGCTCACTTCTTTATCCAATTTATTCTTCAAATCATCTAGTTTCTTGGTCGCTATTACTCTTAGGATGAGTTTTGATCACGATGGTAGAACTTTTGTGCGCCTTGATTCCATTGTTGGTGAATTGGACTGTTCGATCATGAAGGTGCCCCATGTACACCACAATCCTGTCAGGTTTCCCAGCTAGTTGGAGCCGTGATCATTTTTGTATAGCTATGATTTTGTTTACCCTTAGAGTTCTAGCTACCTCTAATCGTGTTGTTATCGCAATCTTGGCTTCCCCGCTAACTCTGATCGTGATTGTACCACGATCCTTGGCGTCCCCACTGGCTCTAATCGCGACTATATCACAATCATGTCCCAGGTAGCTCTAATCGAGACTGTATCTACGATCCCAACTTCAATTTGAGAGGTTCTACAATCCCTGATCCCTTTAATTCGAGAGGTTTTGCGACCTACAATTCGATCATTGCTTTCCAAATGACTCATGATCCGCTCGTTGCTTTCCAGATCGCCAAAATTCTAACTGTTTCGCAATTTAGTCATGAAAGCAGTGCCTTTGGTTTCTCAGAAATCGGGCTCTGATACCAATTTGATATGAACGGAGATGAATTTCCGCATAACTTAGAGCAAATAAATCTTTTCTTCAATAACACAATACAACAAAAATCAATTACATAAAGATAAACACCTACAATTCGAGAGGTAGAGAATCTCTCCCTAACGCCTATAATTCAAGCTGTAGGCGATCTCTCCCAAACTCTTTCCTTGAGACTCAAGACAATAATCTCATCATAACCACAATAATAACTAATAAAAGATTAAGTTGCCCTTATGTGCCGCCCTAATAGCATGTTTACGGGAGGTGTGATTGGAAGCTCAAGGGAATTAGGGTAAAATTTTATTTTCAGGTTTATTTAACTTAAGTTGATGTTATAAGTATTAGTGTTAGCTTGTATTGATTTATTGCAAAAATTATTGATTTAACATGAGAATGAAAAGGAAAGAAAGCAAAGAAGGAAGGATGCATTTTGGATTAGGATTTGAGAAGTGACATCGGCGAATGAAGAGGTAAATGTTTTTCGTAATTATTTATGTATGTTGTTTTAATTAAAAGCCATTAAATAGATAGCTAAGTTTTCTTGAGTAAAATCAGTGATAGTATTTGGAAGAGCATTTGATTCTAAAGATGATTAGGGGAAAATATTTAAATATATTAGATATATTTTATTCGATTTTTTTAGAAATATGATCCTTACATATATGCACTTTTCATTGATATAAGTGAGAGTCAGTGGAATTAAAGTTCAAGAATAAGTTTTTAAAGAGATCTTTGAAATTTTGATGTGAGTAATTATGTTTTTAAATTTTAGTAATATTCTTATTTATAAATGTAATTTTGTTTTTATTATGTTTTGTTCAAGTGCGATTTAAATTGCAACATATTCTTCATATTATTTGATAGAAAAATATGTATTTTAAATAGTTGCATGATGATTTTCTGATGAAGTTATTAGATTATTGCATGCTCTTTAGATTCTAGTAAACATGTGTTTATTCATTAGTAGATGAAAGCAAAATGTATGCTATGAAGTATGAAAATATTATGTGCATGAATGTTTGTTTGTGCATGTTAGAATGAGGAGTTTACCCCCTTATAGTACTAGTTGTGGATGCAAATGTGCTCGCGCACGTAGATGTCTTCCCACAATCTCATAAAATTATGAAATTTAGATCATTAATCGTTGTGTCGACGAGAGAGTATTGGTCAGGGGTGAGTAGACACCGTACCACCTCAGATAATTATAAAATTTAGATCACTAACCAGTGTGTCGATGGGAGAATCAATCAAGGGTGAGCATGTGCATTTCCATCTCAGACAATAGCATGCATATTCTACTAACTTATGTGTTGTGGGGTGTGTATTGGTAAGGGTATGTTAGATTATGATTAGATTGTGCTCTTGAGACGGATGTGAATGTTAAGAGTACGAACTATACTGAAGTTAAAGATTTACCCCTGAAAAGTAAAACAAAAGTTGATACATGTAGAAATATTTAGATTTCTTCCTTGAGCCTATTTAGATTTCTTTCATGAGCAAATATCATGAATGCATGATTTAAATTATTATTTAAATTTTTAGGATATTATTTTTTGTTCTTTTTAAAAACATAGAGTTGTCAGCTTGTGTATTTATATGTCGTTGTATGATTCTCTTTTTCAAATAAATCTCCCTCTCAGATCATAGAAATATGATCCAAATACGAGAGGAATAAAAAAATAGGATAAACTACAAAAATAGACAAATAAATTTTAAAAAGAAATATGAAAGAGTTATGCAAG